AAAAAAAAAAAAAAAAAAAAAGAAAAAAAAAGAAATTGGAGTTTTCCATTTCAAGTTACCTGGTTAAGAGAAGTCTCATTGTGATATTTCATCCCGAGGACTGAGGGTCTAAAGATCTTACTCTTAATTTCTTCCCTTTTTTCTCCTTTGGGTAACCTTCCTTCCTCCACCCGTCAAGCTGTAACTCATCCTTTTGTAGCTTAAACACCTTCAACGGCTCCCTAGTTCCTCTCATGGAAGGTCCAGATTAAACCCCATTTCCACAAAATATTCTCTGATCACTCAGATCTGCTTTCTCGCCTGTACTCTGAGTTCCTCCAGCAATTGCACGCCACATTTAGCCCTTAATAGATTCTCACATGTCATTTACTATGGTTGAAAGGCGTTCATCTTATCTCCATAGTAGACTGAAATCTCCCTAATGAGAGAAATCACATCACATGTGCTGTATACTTCAGCGTCCAGTGTTTTCATGCCTGTGTGTGTGTGTGTGTGTGTGCGCGCACGCGTGCACGCATGCGAGCATATTATAAACCATATGGAATCTGCAAAAACTAGATTCTTTTCCCTGGGAAAGGTACTCAGAATTTGGAGTAAGGAGGGGTTGCAGTTCTCCTTTTGCCCACCAGGGGATTCCAGATTGCTCACACCTGCTAACAGCAAACAGTACTGCTGGCTGAGCCAATGGTATGTGCTGCACAATTGCCCACTGATGTGTCCCTCTCCCCGTTTTCTCTGAACAGATTGCCCTGACATTCTCAATTGTCTTTGGGGTGATTGTGTATCGGATCACAACTGCAGCTGCTCTGTCTCTCAACAAGGCCACACGCTCCAATGTCCGGGTGACAGTGACAGCCACGGCGGTCATCATCAACCTTGTGGTCATCATCATCCTGGACGAGATCTACGGTGCCGTGGCCAAGTGGCTCACCAAAATTGGTACTGCTGTCACCAAATCCTGTGGTTGTCCTAGGCCCCCCTTGAACACGGTCAAATCAGAGTGTGCAAGAGTTTTGGTGATAATGGCCCCCAAGTGAGAAAGGAGCAGGACAGTGTGTTTTGTGCAGTGCATTTTAACTGGCGGGAGGAGAAAGTGCAAACAATGTTTAGGCGCTTGTGGGCCTGCCAAAGGCTTCCTGAAAGGCAGAAGTCCTTCCTGTAACATTCTTCATCTGTAGTCCTCTGTAGATCCTCTGTAGCCAGTGTTGATTGCCTCATACGGCGGGGAACTCACTATCCCCTAAGGATAAATCCTGGGTCCATTCTGTCTAACCTAATTGAGAAGCAAGACAGACTCAAGATTTTCTGTTAAAAAGTACAGAGTCTTAGCTCGCCTCATTTTCCCAGCAGCATTTATAAAGTTGAGGAAAGCCTCTTGATACTTGAGCCCGAGAGGGTCTTATCTATCCCTGTATTGTCAGAGGCCCCAGAAAATCCACACATTCCCCAGGCACTGAGCAGACTTCAAAGAGGCATATCAGGCTTCCCAAGCTTCAAACCAGTGAGAAAAATGCAGTGGCCTCGATGTGCAGACGCGTTATTTGAGCCCCAGGCTGCTGTTGCCTGAGCGCCACGTTTTGGCATTCGGAGTCCGTGCTTACTGAGTGGGGGAGGGCTGAGAGCTGAGACCCTGTCCTCCTGGTATTTATTCTGGGTGGCCTGCATACATCCCTTGCCTCTCTCAATTGAGGGATTTCCCTCTTTGACTCTAGGGACTAAGTCCTAGCTTCTCACTAACCTCACAGGGGAGTTGTGGGCTGTTTGATGCCTTTAAATCACTGACCAGATAGAAGCCAGATTGGTGATAGGATAACTGCCTCCTCAAGAGAGACTTCCGGGTCGAGTGTGGTGGCTCACACCTGTAATCCTAGCACTTCGGGAGGCTGAGGTGAGAGGATTGCTTGAGGCCAGGAGCTCAAGACCTGCCTGGGCAACATAGAAAGACGTCATCTCTACAGAAAAATTAAAACATTAGCCAGGCATGTGGGCGCGCGCCTGTAGTCCCAGCTACTTCGGAGACTGAGATGGGAGGATTACCTGAGCCCAGGAGGCTGAAGCTGCGGGGAGTGGTGATTGTGCCATTGCACTTTAGCCTGGGCAACGAGTGAGGCTCTGACTCCAAAAAAAAAAAAAATGCCTTCTCACGAGAACTGGAGAATTCCAGAAAGTTCCTCTGTCTTTCCCTTTCCCCATCTCAGCCTGTACTCCGTTGGGCACTTTGACTTCTAATTTGATATCAGCAGTTTACCATCTAGGGGGGCATTCCTGCTCTCTTCAGATGTGTATCTACAAGTGTTATCTGTGTTTTTTCATAAGCTTCTTGAGAAAAATAAGCAGAGAATTTTGCTTCGGCCTGTTTAATGCTCTATGGGGTTCTATAGAGGCCCTCGGGAGGAGAATCAGCACTTCTGGGGACTTAGAGAGGTCTCAGAGGTAGAGATATCTAACTGGAGAGCTCACATATGAGTATCAGATAAATATAAGAGTGTGGGTGCAGGGAAGAGGAGTGTGCAGGAAGAGAAGAAATCTCCCGGCAAAGGAGACGAAGTGAGAAATATGGCACTGAAGGGAGAGATCAGATCCCTGGAAACTAGGAAAGGGACATGGAGAAGTGGCCCAGGAGCTGCTGGGATCCACAGGGAGAAGCGTAGTGGGTCTAAATGCCAGCAGATACAGGAAAGAGAAAACGTGGGGCATGTCTAGCATACCAGAGGACCCCAGTGTAGAGGCTGCTCTGAGGTCCACAGCATGTCCAGGGCACGGTGTAGTGGGAGACTGGGCCCAGGGAGTTGACTGATACCTGTTTTAGTGTTTTGTTTTTGGCGGAAGACCTAAAACGCCAGGCTGAAGGCTCCGTGCTTATTTTCATAGAAAACGGGAAAGTGTTTGCTGGAGTGTCCAGGGGCACTCAATAAACGGTACTGTCTTCCTGGCCTGATCACTGAGAAATGAAACAAGGGCAGGCATGGCTAACACCAGAATATCAGCCATGAAACGGAAAACAGCCCCACTGGGGGAGATGGCTGAGCACGGGAGCCAGATAGACGTTCTTCCTCAGTGGCAGGCAGCAGCGGGCAGGGCAGTCCTGTGAGTCTTGGGGCTTAGATGGGGCACCGGAGAATACTTGCTTTCTCAAGACTTTTGCTCCCCCAAAGCAGGGCAGAGGAAGAGGGTAGGTGAGGAATGCCAGCGCCCCCTTCCAGACTGACCAGCAAGATAAGCTGTTCCCCTTTCTTTCTCCCAAAAGAAGACATGAGTGAGGTGGGAAAGACAAGCCAGGGTGTTACATCGAATCACACTCCAGCCACAGGAAGGGGGCATCAGGAGTGGAAAGAAATGTCCCCTACCTGACCTAGAACCAACCCAACCCCACGGAGGATTTTTTTTGGAAGAGTGTGGAACGATGGGAGCTGTATGCTTGCAAAATTGCTCAGGTGGTGAAATAGGATGCAGTGGAGGAGGGAGAAACAGGAAGATCTAATGTGAAGGACACCGCTGAGTGCGGGGGCAGGAAGTAGAGAAAAGAGGAACAGGAAATCAGTGATGACGTAGACATCTCTTCTTGCTGTCCATTTGTGTTACTTTATTTTGCTTTTCTTACATGATTCTGGATAGAGGCAAAGATGGAAGATAAGTAGAGGGGGCACCAACCAAAAACTCACCAAGTATTTTGTGAGTACTTCCCATGTGCAAAGCCAGATCTTACATTTTGGTTTAAGGCCGTAAACAAAATGGGTCATAACCCAGTCTTCTCGTGAAGATATATCCACTGTCCCTGACAGTACTCACCCCAAAAGCTCTGGCTACTCTGGGTCATTAAACCAGCGTCCAGGATTCCACGAGAAAGTCTGTGCCCCGAAAGGGGGAGGAATTCTAACAAGCACATTTTGTCCTCTCTGATGACAGAGCTCATCAAATAGTTGTAAACTTTAAAAAAAAAAAGTTTGTAGCACCATTTCCCCTTGACGAAAACTGCATGGCCAACACGGGAAGTGTTATATCTTCATCTTACTAAGGTTCAAACTCAGATTCTAACTCTAAAATGCAAATCTCCCTTGTGCTAGTTTGAGGTCGGTTTCTCACTATCCGGGTGGAAGTATCTAAGTGGTATGTGGGGTTGCCATCCGGGGCCCACGCGGGCATTTGCCCTGGGTTGTGCTCTTGCCTGTCTTAGACCAGATATTCCCAGAGGGCTCGGAGAGGTACTGCTGTGTGGTGGAAGGACCCCTGAATGGGAGAATCCAGGAAGAAGCTTTGAGTTGTAGACTTGGCGGCTTCCTCCTCCCACCACCCGACTGTGTCGCCCTGGACAGGGAGGAACTTCTTTGGACAACATTTTATTGATCCTTCACCGTGTCCCTCCTTCTGTCCCCTGGTCATCCTCTCTGGACTGTTTCCACAGTCTCATGCCTATGCCGTGATCTTCAGCCTCTTTCTGTAGCCCTCTAGCTGCAAAATCCCCTTCCTGCCAGCCTTTCCCAAGCATGGGCCTGGAGGCATCACCCCCACCCCCGCCCCAGAGAACTTTCCTATTCTCTTGGTCAGCAAGACACTGGCATTTGAGCTCTCAACCACCTTTTTCCCACTGGGTGGTTCCACCCAGCCCATCCACCCAACTTGCGGTCACCCTAGGCCACCCTGTGTGTCCTTGTTTCTGTGCCCTTTCTGTAAAGGGCATCTTGAGGCTTACCTTCCCGGTGAATCCTTCTCTGGTCTCTCAGCTCTTAGGGATTTTTCTGCTGACCCTGAAATAATTTTTCAGGGTGGCCAGCAAAGTTTTGAAACAAAATTTATTCATGAGAAGAGAGGGAGAAAGGGACAGGTGGAAGATTCATACCCGAAAAGCCTGGCACAGGCAAGTCTCTTTTCGAAAACGGACTGCATTTTTGCTCTTACCTAAAAAACTAGATGTGGGTTTGCCACCATTGATAGGCTAAAGAGTGTGCAGCTTGGGCACCCTCGCTCTGGAGAGATTGACATCTCTCAGCTTCCGATAGGAGGGACGGGAGGAGGGATGGCCTTTTCCAGAGCACGTATTCTGTCTTTGCAGGAGCAAAGACTTTTCCAGTTCACAAGTTCATATGCTGAAAGGTGGTCTTATGATCATTTCTATGGCTCTGGTTAGTAAGGGGTGGTATTCAACCTTCCACCGTCAACAGGGACAGATTTTTAGTGATTCTTATGTTAAACCGTGAATTGAATGGTTGGGCTGTCTCATTCTTACATCTGATGGAATTTTCTTTTGATTGGCTGAGGGGGTCCGCATACCAGCCTAACCTGCAGTAAAAATGTGATAAGAAAAATGTCGGAATACTTCCTCAATCCTGCCCATGAGACATTTGTCTGCCTACGCCTAACCTGTACCAGCTACCTTGTCTCAACTGCGGGCACACGGCGGTAACAAGTGACACGATCCCTGCTCTCAGCGCGTGTGCACGGCGGACAGGGAACAATGACTAGTGAGCAGGGACATTCCACGGGGGATGAGGGAGCTTTGGGGGAAATGGAGAGTTTTGGGGGGCCACTGGTCAGGATCCACTGGTCGGATCCACTGGTCAGGAGAGGCCTGGCGGGGTGGTAACCTAGCTGAGACCTGAGTGGCAGGAGGGAACTGGCCCCACAGATATCTGGAGGGAGAACTCCAGCCCGCCGGACCAGCAAGGGCAAAGGCTAAGTTTGGAGTGTAGATTGTCACTACCCGCTGGACGTCAGTCCTGCACTGCCCTATGTGATTATTTGCATTTGGATGTGTGCCTCGGTGGTGGAACAATCTAGGTTCTGCTGGGATCATAAATTTGCCTTGCAGTCTTGGTTGCCTAGCATAAGGTGTCCGTGTGTTCCTACTCGCCCTGCATTCCTAGTGTGGTCAGGCAGGGGTCTCTCCTGCACAGGCACCCAGACTGACCGAGACCACTGTGGACACCATGTCCGGGAAGGAG